TCCTTCTAATATGTCCTTTAGCATCATCCCTTACTTGTTTCAAAAAATTCCCATTTTCCATAAAAAAAGCAGTTTTTTTATCAATTCGCCATCTCTCTTGAATTTGTCTATACACAAGCCAGGAAAAGTCTGGATACTTCCGTCTCAAAACTTCTATTGATTTGAGGCACCATTCACCACTACCACTCAAATATAACAAGTCTTTATAAGATGGCGCCTCCATAACCACAAATCTTGGTATAGTCAGAAAAATATGTGATGGTATCACCCAAATTGGAAGTTTAACATCAAACTTAAAGAAATATTTTTGCCAAACTCTTAACAATGCAGCCCTTATTATATGGTTTCTAAAAGTTTTGTCAATCTTTTTCTGCATAAAGAGATAAGCATGCCACCCAAAGTACAAGTCCCATCCTTCCAGGTTCAATATCCTCTTGTTGGATAAATTAATCCAATCCGTCATCCATGTCAATGCACAAGAATCATAATAAAGTATCAAATTTGGAGCTTTAAGTCCTCCACGTTCTCTAACATCTTGAATAATCTTAAATTTAACCCGTGCCTTCTTGCCTTCCCAAATGAAGCGGTTCAAGTCTCTCTGCCATTCTTTCAAGTTAAGTTCATTTTTTAAGATAGGTATCATCTGGAATAAAAAAAGAAACTTAGGTAGAATATTCATTTTGATGGCCGCAATACGACCCAGCAAGGAAAAGTGAAGTTTTTTCCACATTAATAAGTCTTTTTGTACTGATTTCCACAATTTTTCATAATTATTCTGATAAAGTTTCATGTTAAGAGGATGACAAGAAAATTCCCAAATACTTGACTTTATTAACCACTTCGAATCCTGATATCTGCATAAGTTGATTTTTATCTTTGGCCATCATATTCTTTGTAAGAATTTTAGTCTTTTGAACATTAGTTCTAAATCCAGCCACCTTGCCATATTGATGCAGCACTTGCAACAAAGTTTCCAGTGACTCAATTGGTTGAGACAATGTAAAAACTAAATCATCAGCAAAAGCTTTAAGTTTATATTCTTTAGCAGAAATTCTTAAACCTTTAATCGTTGTAGACTCTCTAATTCTAGATAGCAGAATTTCTAATGACAATACAAATAATAGAGGAGAAAGTGGGCAGCCTTGTCTAGTACCTTTTTGTATATCTATAGGCTCTGTCAAATCTCCATTTATAATTATTTGAGCAGTCTGTTTTTGATATATCGCCTTTATAGCTGTTTTGAATTGATCTCCAAAGTTCATATAGTCCAACAATTTATTTAAAAATTGCCATTCCAATTTGTCAAAGGCCTTCTCCGCATCAAGAAAAATAAAAGCCGAAGGTATTTGATTATTCTTGTCCAAATATTCCAGTAGATTTACAATTTGCCTAATGTTATTCTTCATGTATCTCCCAGATATAAAACCAGTTTGATCATCATGTATATAATGTTGTAATATCTGCATCAATCTATTGGCCAAGATTTTTGCAAAAATTTTATAATCCACATTCAGCAAGGAGATAGGTCTATAATCTTTAAGTTCCAAAATTTCTTTGTCATCCTTCGGTATCAAAGATATAAAGGCTCTTGTCCAAGACTGAGGTATTTGTTCTCCCAACATAATTCTATTGAATAAAATTTTTAAAGGCTGTAACAATATGGCTGACAATGACTTATAATAAATTGCTGTTAAACCATCCGTCCCAGGAGCTTTACCAACTTTCAATTGTTTAATTGCATTTAAAATTTCATCTGTTGTAATCTCTTCATCCATAATTTTCTGCTGCTCCACTGTAAGTTTATATATAGATGAAGATTGTAGATATTTGTCAATGTCTTTACTATTTATAGTCTCTGAGGAGTATAAATACGAATAAAATTCAGTAAATGCCTTTTTAATCAGTTCTTGTTGATGAATTTCACGATCTTTGACCAAAACTTTAGAAATAAGCCTCGCCTTTTGTCTCTTACGTATCTGGTGAGCCAACCATCTCCCCGGTTTATTTGCGTTAGCAAATGTGTTATGTTTAATATACTTCAAGTTGGTGGCCACCTGATCAGCAATTAATAAGTTGAATTGATCTTTAAGCATCTTAATAGAGTTTTTTAAGTTGATATCTGTTGGTCGTTGTAATAATAATTTTTCCTTCCTCCCAATTTCTTTTTCCAAGTTAAATCTAATCTGCATTTGCTTACGTCTATAGGCATTATTCATAGCAATCAGTATTCCTCTTAAATAAGCCTTGCCAGCATCCCATACAATATTTATAGAGGTTTCCTTGTCCATATTGAGTTGAAAGAACTCTTCCATAGATTCCTTCAAAGCCTTAACCTTATCTTCATAGTTAAACAAATTTTCATTTATTCTCCAAGATTTCCTCTTTGTTTTTTGACCAATCTCCATCCACACCATGCTATGATCAGACAAAGTTCTAGGGAAAATTTTAGTTTTGTTACAGCCTGTAATTAAATCAGTCGATATCAAAACAAAATCAATCCTTGAAAAAGAGTCATGTCTGTGGGAAAAAAAGGTAAAATCACGTTCATTGATATGTTGTAATCTCCAAGCATCCATCAATTCTAAATCATCTTTCATGGCAAAAAAAGATTTAGGTAGTCTGGAAAGGGTTACATCCTTAGAAGTTGTCTTTTTGTCTTTTAACGTATCCAAAACCCCATTCCAGTCTCCCATAACAATCAAAGAGTTATAATCCATCGCCACGATTTTCTGATGTAAGTGCCTATAAAATTGCTTTTGAGCTGCAAGTTGATTGGGTGCATAAACCCCTATTATTAAGCACTTTCTTCCATTTAGATTTATTTCCACAAATAAGTATCTTCCTTCTTTATCAACTTCTTTTAGAACAGGTGAAAGATG